GTATTAAGATAATTCAATGCAAATGCACCCTTAGCACGAGGACTCTAAGAACACTTTAGGGAGGAGTGCATGTGCACTTGCTCATATTTAAGGAAGATGCAGACATAAACAAAGAGGCAGAAAAGCCTCGAAAAAAAGAGAAAGAAAACTGTTGGAGAATGGAAACCAGCTGATTCCCCAATGAATCAATGTGCTAGAAATTCTTCTGTGCTTGTAACTGTATGAAAAAAAGAGAGATCTGTGAAAAACTAAATGTACTGTATATCTTACCATTATCCAAAATTTTCAATTCATAGATGTTATTTTAGCCTATTAGAAGTATGGCAAAGATATAAAATTGACACATCTCAGCAGCACTGATGCTTTTGTTCTGAAAACAGAAATATTAATTGATGGCTTGAAAAATAACCTTTAAAATAAATTAATTCCCTTTATTATTAAAACCACAATAGATCCTACTGTCCTTGTGCAGATCCCTGAGGCTGGAATGAGCCTTTTTTCTTATACCAGGTTTCATTCCAAAAGCCTTTACTGTAATAGGCTCAAAAACTACCATTGCAATTCAACTTTGCTTTCTCACAAAGCTGAAAAACCATTACTAAAACCTGTTACCACTAAAAGTAGTTTTCTTTAAAGGGACACACTCAAGTACAACTATCATGGAGTTACAGATTATTTGCTAAATACATGGAAGCTGTAGCCTAAGAACAATTTAGTTCATTGCCCCATTTTTATCTTTACCTTTGTAACACACTAATGTGATGCAATATTTTCCTTTAAGTTTACAATAGCATTTTATGTCTATAGCAACAGCATTTTCCAGTGGCATTTATTATCCAAGCTATGCTCAGGTAGAGGTGACAGTAATTTTTATATAACCAATGCTATTCGTTATGCTGCATTTAAGATGCACTTACTATGTTATGTTCCTTATGCTGGTGTTTCCTGGCACAAAAATGCTCATACGTGATCAACACTTTGGTTTACAGAATGATTACAAAACCTGAGGGAATTACCCTATACAGTTAAAAGGCATGCTAACCATCTAAACTGACTGTATTCTCCCTTTTTCTTTTTCTTCAATGCTTAAAAAAAGCTGTTCATCTGAGAACCTACTATGTGTTAAGTGCCATTAAAATATGATTCACTGTAACAGCTTGCAGAATAATCAACTGGCATCAGCAGGGTGATACGGGAGGAGGAAATTCAGACAATACTGCAGTGGCAACTTGCATGACTAGAAACCAGCAAACTGTTCATGGAAGCTGCTAGGAACTGTTGCATGAGTCCTTTTATCACATTCAGCATAATGAACAGGTGAGACAACTCACATTAACAGTTAAAATGTCCCAAAATGTGACTGAACATAATTTATATTTGTGTCACAGTATGGGATCAATCTTCCATGAACAGAACAAAGAAGGCAATTCATAACGGATTTTTCAATGTATTCATTCAAAAGTCATTCCAGAATTTATCCAACCTTTTGTGTAATCAATGGATGCAATTTGCACTCACCTCAGACAAGTGGCAGTTGCCTCAAATAGCAAATCAAAGCCTTGGAAATAGAAACACAGGGCAGCTTGCAATAGTTCTGTCTTACTAGCTCAACCAGTTTAGGATCAGAACACACAAATGGGAAGGACATTTCCAGCATAAATGACATTAGGCTTGACTCCCAATGTTTCGTCTACATCCTTGCTAAGCCAAACACTTGCTTCAGAGGTCATCCAGAGCAGAAACAGAAGCCATTACCACTGTGGCAATGCTAATTGCTCATACAGTACATTCATAGAGATACGTGAGGTGGCGATCAACAATAAAACAGAACATACTCCAGTGCTCTCACTGTTGCAGCTAAAATACCCTCTTAGCTCATATGCAGATAACTCACAATGTGTTCATGCAGCCTCTTCTATCTGTCAGACCATGGGCAGACAAGGACAACTGTGTGGCAGGTACTGGCTATTCCTGCTCTAGCTATTAGCTGGCTGGTAAATGAAGGGCTAGAAATGGAAAAGTTAAATAGGAGAGAAAAGAGACATCCACCACTTCGTTCGTTTCCTAGAGCACATGGTACATTTGTTGGAGCGTAATTATTTTCCATAAGTCCACTAAGCTTTACAGTGGGGAGGCAGAAATTAATACTAACTCTGTGCAACAAGAAGTGTTTTGAAGAGGTGAGCATTGCAAGTACGGGCTCACTACTTCTAAAAACCTATTAGCGGTATGGATGAACATAAAAGTGTGGGAAGAAATGTGGTGCACAGGATCAACCAAATGAAAGAGAGATGGCTGGATAGGTCAGTGAATCAGGTACAGTGGTGCCTCGCTAGACGACTGCCTCATGGGACAAAAAACCCGCAAGACGATTGGTTTTTGCAATCACTATGGTGCCTCACAAGACTTTTTTTCTATGACCGTGCTTCACAAGACTTTTTTTTGAGACTGATGCTTCGCAACTTTTTTTTTTAGACCAATGCATAGGGAACCTTGCAAGACGATGATTTTCACGGAATGAATTAAAATCGTCTTGTGAGGCACCACTGTATTTGGCTGCAGAGGCTTGGAGTTTGATTCCCCACTGTGCCTCTTAGGGTAGCCTCAGCCTGTGTAGCCTTTGGCAAGCTGCACAGTCCCAGAACGTCACCCAAAAGAAGTGGTAAACCACTTCTGAGTACTCTCTACCTAAAACACCCTGGAAAGGGTTGTCAAAAGTCAGAATTGATGGCACACAATTATTATTACAAAGGTAAGCAATGTAAGTATTGGGTTATCAAACTGAGAAAGTGAAGATGTACAAGGAGAAACATGGTGCATAGGATCATTGCCTAACCCTCTTAAAACAGCAGTATAACTGAGATATTAGAGGGCTAAATCATATGGAACCGTAATACCATTATGATTCTCTAAATCATGGTTGGATTGTTAAAATACTGAGATAATAATTATTTTAATTCTTTCGCCATAATACACTTTACAATTAGAGGAAGATACCCCAAACCCTTCATTTTTTTCTTACTACTGGGGGGGGGGCAGAATTACCTCTTTCATAATGACAAGAATTTTAACCTAGTATGTGTCCTATGATGAAAGGGAGGTCCTTTTTCTTTCTTGAGCTCAAAACATGGTACCATAGTATATATTATTGTGCCTTTTATGTATAAAATTTGTTTGAAAATCAAAAAGCAAATGAAGATTTTGCATAAAAACCAGAATGGTAAAGACAAGAAATGTCTAGCATATACACATATAATTTGCTCAGGCATTTTAAGACTACATCTACTCTCTATTTCTTTTCAAAATCTATTGAACTGAGCAATAGAGAAATTTCCACCTCTATCTCCCAGAGCAAAAGACATGCTTTGCCTGATACTCTTCCTTCTATGATCTAAAAATAAATTTTAAAAAAATAGAAGTTTAGCATATTGAGGCAACCCAGGATGTGGTGCCATCACAGCACCTTGCAGCAATACTTAAGCCCATTTGAAAGCACAAAAAAGAAAGGAAAAAAAGCTAGGTAGAACCAGCAAGAGAGAATTTTTCCCAAAGACTTCTCTAAACTCCATTCAGTCTTTGTTTTGGCCCTTCTTTAAATAAAATGAAATAGATTCAAATAGCTTAGAATGGAAAATAAAAATTAATCATGACAACTTTCAGAGCACAGCAAAACATAAGATACACAAGAATACCTCCTCCCCCAAAAGTAATTCTAACTTCAAATTGTACAATTTATTTTGGATGTTTCAGTTTCCTACTTATTGAGATTTTGATTTACAAGACATCTTCTAAAAAGAAACAGTAGCAGTTCCATTCCACATTAATTAGATTGCAGGAACGGCATGGGGACAATCTGCCATATCAATCATAACAATAAAAATCAAAGTGGCCCTAACTCAGAGAAAATCAGGCTGCAAATTTATACGAAGTCACCCAGGAACAAACTCTACTGAACTCAATGGAACTTTCTTCTAGTTCCATTATGTCATCAGTCGTGTGGGTCAGATTAGTTAAAACTTTAGTACTGTACAGGTAACAAACTTTCTCTACACTGTGTCTAATACGTATGGCACTGTCCCATCAACAGCTCTTTGCATCCACTGGAAACTTCTGCTTAGCCATCAGTGAACGGGAAGGGAGATGTAAAAGAATATACCCATGCTCTGGAAATGCTAATGCAGGAGCAAGTTGTAGATTTTAAACAGGATTGATTTTTCTGGGTTTCAAATAAAAATAAGTAGGAAAAAGCCTGGTAATGCACTGAAACAATTCCTATGGTGATTTTTACGCAAGCTAATCAATTTATCTTTAATTTCACAATGTGCATGTTTTAAACAGTATAATCTTTAGCAGTATATTTCATTTGTCCCTTTGCTCCAATGACTGAAAAAAGGCAAACAAATGGATACTAAACAATAAAAGAAAAACAAGAGAATGATTGAGCAAAGTTAAGTACTTCCTGATCACACTACTTTTTATGGAGGAAATGTTACCATCTGTATATCCTATGATACTGAGCAAACACAAATTTGCTTAACTTTGCCTGGATAATGTCCTATTTATGCTGAAATTATGGGGTAATATTTATGTCAAGTTAAGTCAAATAATAACTTTTAAAACCTACATTGAGACAAAACCCACAATTCTGAGATTATCTGGAAAAGAACATTATTTTGCCATAGCTTGGTCCAAATAAGAATTTCTAAAGGCAAATTTTAAATAAAAATTAAATGGCCCTACATCTACATTTAGCCTTTATCTAACATGAAAAATTCGTTATCTTTTTTTTCTAAGTCTGTTTTAAAAGGCCATCCTAAAATTTTAAAAAATTTGGGGAGTGAACAAAAATTAAAATATCTACAATCTTTAAAAGTGTCTAGGAGATAGGATACTCTGAAAAGATATGTTATATAACTATGTTGCAGCACAAGTTCCCTCCAGCCCTTGGTTATCTTTATGGTTTTTAATTGGATACTGGGAAATCATTTTAAGCACACATCTCAGTTTTATGTAGCACATTTTATCCACTCTTCTTTAATTAAAAAAAAGAAAAAAGCACAAACAAACAAAGCTAATTGAAGAAGACAAAACATATCCCATTAAGTTTCAACTTTTACTTATGGTTGAAAACACATGAAATGTGCTTCAAATGCATAAAAATCACAGTGGATTAGCAGCAAGATGGGGAGTTTTAGGAAAACTTTTATCATTCACATTGTGATTAATTTTACACATTGAATGAAGGATAGCTGTTTCACTCTTCTGAAAAACTTTAGAAAGAAAAACCCAGACCACCCAATCAACAAATAAAAATGCATTACCCTTCTTGATGCAGAAAAAAGAAATTATGGCAGCAAAAGAATGATAGCAATTAAAGTTTGTAAACTGTATTTCAATCTCTCTTTTAATTTTTTGTTGTTGTTCCCAAAGTGCAAGATGCAAGGTTCCCCTAAGCCTTCAGTAGTGCTTTTCTTGTAAATAATCCTTCATTTTGTTTGGCAAAGGCAGTTTTTGAATCAGATCTATTCTGGTATACTGGCGTATAACAAAGCGACACAAATACTGCAAAGAGCGCACCTGCATAAAACGAGACACCGGATTGGTCAGTCTGACTGGATAAGTTGTAGATCCAGGCAATCGAGATCTTGAATAGCAAAATGCTCCATTTTCAGAGTCCCTGATTGAATGCTCAATTAGATCAACTATAGAAGTATGTCCCTCCACATCTGGTTGTTCATAAAAGCTAAATCTACCATTTGAATGTTCAATTCTAGTATGAAGAGTTTTACCATGGGAACGGAAACTCAGACTTAAAAGGTATTGGTCATCAGAGCTGTCTCGTACAAGAAATGAACCATCAGGGACATTGGCCAGCTTCCCCTCTGCTTCCCATCGTGTAATTGGGCCCCAGTACCATCCTTGTTTTGCAAGTTTTTTCAGTTCTTCTGTGAGACTTGTCACAACCATAGGACCACTGTTCTGTACAGAATAATAAACTCTTCCAACTCCAGGCGCAGAGTTAGGATCAAAATTCAAATGGCACCGCATACTTTCAGCCACATGGACATCTGTGCCATTCAGGCCATTGAAGTTCCTTTGGATTTGATTATTCTGTATTGGAGGTAGCAGTGGGGAGAGTGGAGGAACATCACTGTGATTAACTTTTGGGCTTTGCAACATGACTCCTGTGGTACCAATTAATAAACCACTTACTGCTTGGTCCACAAAGATATCTGGAGGAACTACTACATCTTGACTCACTGAAGCTTCTTCTTCATGAAATGCACTACCACCCATTTGAGAAGAAACAGTTGAAACTTCCATGGGTGAGGAACTATCCAAACAGTAACTACGTGATCCTTCCAAAGGATACATTCCCTCATCTAAAGGCACAGTATACTGAATGTAGTCCTGAGGCATAAGTCCAATAACTACAGGCACATGCTCATCAATATGGAGATGCAAATCTCCATTCTGAGATTCTGTACTTTTTAATGCATTGTTTTGTTCCTGGAACATGCTGTCTGACTGCAAGTCATGGAAATCTTTGCGAACACCATTCAGTGCAGGGCTTGGATTTGAGGAATGGACCAAGGCTTTTACTTTTACTTCCATTTTTATACATGTTTCTTCTGAGTTTGTTGGACGAAGGGGCCACGGAGTTGGACTATAATGATGATTTCGTAGGGAAGTGGATCTAAGAGGCCTTTGAGCTCTCACATCTTTGAAGGTTATTGGAGCAGAAGAAGAAGAGAAGGTGTCGTCATCAGCAGAACTTACAGATGGGGTACTACCTTTGTTGCCTTTCTGCTTCTGTTTTGCTGACAGTCTTCTTTTTAACGTACCCATTAAACTTTCACTCTTTGATCTGTTTTTCCCACCTTTCTCATCTTCGCTGTTAATGTCGCAGTTAGTCAAATCTTTACCGTAGCAGCTCCCAAATAAGGAGTCGTCTTTTGCAAAATCATTTAATGATGGCTGTGCAACTACTACAAAGTCACTGTCATCTTTGCTCTTATTTAAATTAAAAGATTTACGAATGGTCTTGAGACTAATTTTCTTCATTATGAAAGTACAGGCAAGTCTTGATGTTCGACTCTTTCAGAGTTCTGTCCTTAAAATATATAAACAAGGAGTTTCTTCATGGATGTGCCTCATTCAGTCTCATTTTACTTCCAAGACTCATTTCCTGAAAAACAAAGAGATAAACAAATGAATTCCATACAAACCAAAATTATTAGTTTTACACCATAGTTCATTTTTATTGTGCACTGTTATTTGAATATTGTTATTTGTATATTACTTATATTCCTTGTTGGTCTTATTGGCTAATTAGTCTTTGTGTCTTCTACTCAGAGAAGTAATGATGTGAAGCAGTGGTTGCCAACCTTAGGTAGCCCAGGTGCTCTTGAACTACAATTCCCAGAAGCCTTCACCACCAGCTGTGCTGGCCAGGGTTTCTAAGAATTGCATTCCGAGGACACCTGGGTTACCCAAGGTTGGGAACAACTAGTGTTGAGGATCATGAACAAGCTGTGAATTTACATGCTGTTCTTCCCCTTCTCCTGAAAAACTTCACTTCGGTTTCCAACTCAGTACTAATCACAATATGCTAAAATCAGCAAATGGCAAGCTATGGTTAGATTTCACCTTCCAAATCAAAATCAGAAAACCTAGTCAAGCAATTGTTTCCGGTTCTATTTTGGAAAACATTCCAAACTGAAGAGGATTTGCCACAAAGCTTCAGTTTTCCATTTGTTTGTAAACCCAGTCTGATGCCTTTTTAACCACCCCCAGGCAAACTCTGCATGAAATGAAAATGTCAAGGCAGGGAGAAGGGGGGGGGGAGAGAGTCATGTAGTTTTGTGACTGATGTGTCTTGATTCTAATGGCTTTTTTCCCCACTTCCAATCTTAGCATATTAGAGTAGGATTTCTACAATGCAAGACTCACCCAGAATACCCAACAGAGAACAACTCTACACAGTATAAGACATCTTACAGAATAGAACAAAACAAAACAAAACAGCCCTTGTTTCAAAACAGCACATGCATAACTGAACTCATCAGTATGAAATTAAGAGGCTTCATATGCCACTTGGTTACTTAAAAGAAAAACAAAGAAAAAAGTCTCAAGCCTTATAGATACATAGTATAAAAATCCACACACCCTTTGTCTCCATACATAACCCAACCCATATTTTTGTGAACCTGTGCATAACAATATACTTCCCCAAAGTAATTTAGTATAAGGGGAATGCTGTTTTACCCCTTAAGAAAAATAATCAGTGTGATCTTGAATGGAGAACAAAATCCACAAGACAACCCAAAGAAGATATTATAATAATGGGCAACTTTATTCTCACATTTATTGGGTAAATGTATGTTTTGGGTCACAATGAAGAAGTAAAATTTCTGTATGTTCTCAATGACTGTACCTAAGCACAAGTAGACATGGAATCACCAAGAAAGGAGACTCTTAATCCTAAATGGTCTTTCCCAGGATATAATACAAGGTATGAGCATACCTGAACCAAATGAAAACTGTGACCATAATACTATTACATTTGTTTTACATGTAAGTAGAAAAGCCCCAGGAGCCCCAGCATGTTTCTGTTTGACATCAAAACAGGGAACTTCTTCACAATGAAGAAACTGGAAAAAGGAAGGGGAGGAAAAAAAAAGTCCAAATTGACATGCCTCTCCATGATGCTTGGGGTATAGTCAAAGCTATATCAATAGAGACTGGTTAGAAGAGACTACAGATTAGAAAAAGAATGTCAAGTTCCAAGAGTCACAAACGTGGCTAACTGATAGCATGAAATAAGATACCGTGGATAAACAGGCTTCCTTCAGAAACTGGAGGAAATGTGGTGAAAATAAAGGAATAAAAAATGCAAGCAGACAATTAGGGATGCATACATGTACTTTAAGGGCCATATGTAATTTGAGAGCCAGGTGGATCAATTAATTATTTAAATATATCAGAAACAAAAAGCCATTTGTGGAGGCTGTACGTCACTGACTGACAATGAAATTAAAGGCATTCTGAAATATGATAAAGATACTGCAGAGAAGCTAACACAATTCTTTTCATCTGTCTTTATTGATGAAGATATAGGGCAAATACTAACATCTGAATTGATGTTTCCAAGAAGAAAGAATAAGCAATTGAAACAATTATTGATGACAAGAGAATAGATACTAGATCTCACTGAAAAATTACAAATTAATAACTAAGTCCAAACAGTATAGCCAATCAAGAGTTCTTAATGAAATCAAGTGTGAGATTGCTATTGAGCTAACTAGAATGATAAACATGTCTCTGAGATCATCTCTCCATACTAGAGGACTTGGCAGAATGGCCAAAGTAACATTTTTTTCAACAACAACAACAAAAAAAGGATCTGGAAAATTATACAACAGTTAATTCAACAGGTACACCGGTGAAAAGCATTATTTTAAATTTCCTTTTGGAGAATTTTACAGCTACCATGGGCCACTAGAAAACAAAAACAGTGGTGCCCCGCTTGACGATTGCCCTGTTAGACGTCGAAATCGCTTGAAGATGACGTGGTGGTGCTGCGGGCTAAACTGCAGAAGCCTGTGCTGCAGGGTCAGAAGACCAGCAGTCGTAAGATCGAATCCACATGACGGAGTGCCGGTTGCTTGTCCCAGCTCCCGCCAACCTAGCGGTTCGAAAAAATGCAAATGCAAGTAGATAAATAGGGACCACCTCAGTGGGAAGGTAACAGCATTCCGTGTCTAAGTCGCACTGGCCATGTGACCATGGAAGATTGTCTTCGGACAAAACGCTGGCTCTATGGTTTGGAAACGGGGATGAGCACCGCCCCCTAGAGTCGAACATGACTGGACAAAAAAAAACTTGTCAAGGGGAACCTTTACCTTTTATAGCAATTGCAAAACAATGATTTCAATGGTTTTTTTCGTTTTACGGGAACCATTTTCCCCCCGCATTATGACGATTAAAAAAAGCTGATTATCGGGTTTTCGAAATGGTTCCCTGCTGTTTTCGGAAAACAGTGATGCAAAATGGCTTCTCCTATGGAGGATCTTCGCTGGACGAGCAGGTATTTCCCCCACTGGAATGCACTGACCAGTTTTCAATGCATTTCAATGGGTTTTTTAACTTGACAACGATTTCGCTTAACAGCAATTTTAATGGAATGCATTATCATCGTCAAGCGGGGCAACACTGTATATGGATCTGAGATCAAAGGAAGATATTGAATAGAATGTAAGTGGGTACTAGACCAAATCAACCATGAACTTTCTCTAAAAGCAGAAATGACTGAACTGAAGCTATTATATATAATACCTTGAGAAAGGCAAGACTCATTGGAAAATATGAAAATACTAGGAGCTCAAAGGCAGCAGGAAAATAAGACCTGACATGAGAGTGACTCAATAAAGGAAATTATGGCTCCTGGAGTACAGCTATGAATGATAGGACTTTCTTCACTTCATTAATTCATCAGGTCACTATAAGTTGGAAATGATTTAATGGTATTATCATAACAAACTCAAAATACATTGGCACTCTGCGACTATTGTTGAGAGACTGCCAACATTATTACCAAATCAAGTGACTGTTGCCAGAACTGGAAACTGACTACACGTTGTAAAAAAAAAAAAAAAGTCAGCAGCATGATGTGATTAAATATCACCTCAAGTAACAGAATCAATATGCATCTATATATTAGTTTTTAGGGAATGCAAGATGGATGGTGCACTTATACTCTTGTCCTGTTGATAAGCTTTCCATTGGAAATTTGCTAGCCACTACATTAATAGCCTTTGGTCTGATGAAGCACAGGTCCTCTTACCTTTCTGTAAACCCTCTAGCACTTCAACTTTCCCCTGAAAAGTTTCTGCTTCCCTGCTGGAAGATGGCTTTATAAAATAGTACTTAACATACATGGATGCTTTTAAAAACACTGTAATCAGAAAATATGATGTGTATGTAACTGCATGTGAGTGAGTGAAAAGGGTCTTGGCAAGTGTATCAATGTCTGTGTATATCTGTAGTGGACTGGCTATATCCACAGTTTGTACTTACTCTCTGATATGCTTAAAAGGTAAAGGTAAAGGTTCCCTTTGACAATTTTTGTCCATTCGTGTTCGACTCTATGGGGCGGTGCTCATCCCCGTTTCCAAGCCATAGAGCCAGCGTTTTGTCTGAAGACAATCTTCCGTGGTCACATGGCCAGTGCGACTTAGACACGGAACGCTGTTACCTTCCCACCAAGGTGGTCCCTATTTATCGACTTGCATTTGCATGCTTTCGAACTACTAGGTTAGCGGAAGCTGGGACAAGTGAAGGGAGCTCACTCCGTCACATGGATTCAATCTTACGACTGCTTGGTCTTCTGACCCTGCAGCACAGGCTTCTGCGGTTTAGCCCGAAGCGCCACCACATCCCTCCATCCCGCCAACACGTCACTTCTGATATGCTTACTGTGGAGCAATTTAGCCCAAGGACTGAAACAAATTATTTGCTCCTGATATAGAGAAAAATATGATCTGCTGGGACAGCATCACTTTATTTTCCTGTTTATTAGACCAGAGAAAGCTTAAAACCCCATATTATGCATACTAGTTTTCATCAGAAACTTTTGTGACAGCACACTCTGTAGTACTGAAATATCCAGGATCTGGGGAAAGTGAGAGCTAAAATGTGCACACAAGTAAGCCACCATTATATATGGCTGAGCACCTTTCTGCAGACAGAATCAGATAATTTCCAAAAGCTGTCCTATGCATGAGATGAGAGCTTGTGACTAAATTTCACTGTACAGTAATGGCTGACATGACCTACAGTGGGAAATGGGAATGTAACTGTGGCATACAGCTCTGCTCTCACCTGTCCGTCACAGCTGGGCAGGGGACACTCAGCCAATGAGAGGACGGAGGGTGATGCGCAAGGGGGAGGAGCTGGATTATATAAGGTGTGTGTAATGTGTGAAAGGGGGAGTTTTGGAGAGTTTGAAAAGATGAGAGAAGTTGATTGAGAGAGTGAGATAGATTTGAGAGAGATAGTCAGTGAGGGAAAAGTCTGTGTGATCTAGCAATTGAGAAACGTGATTAACAACTTGATTTTACCTGTGATTCATCCTTTTTATTTTGTACAAATCAATAAACACTTTATTTGTTTGAAAGAAAAACTTGT